AATAAAAAATAGGCGAGATAGGTTGGTAGGACACCTTCTCAGGCATGAAGGTCTAGTCAGAGACATATTAGAGGCAGAAACAGGAGTTAGGAGGGGTAGAGGTAGACCTAGATTAGATTACTCTTCGCAAATAGTTAAGGATCTGGGCTGTTCTAGTTTTAGGGAAATGCGAAGTTTAGCTCAGGATAGGAAAGAGTGGAGGGCCGTGTCCAACCAGTCTTAGGACTGATGACCTTATGATGATGATTACTAAATTGATCGAAAAACTCTGTTGTTATAATCATTGTGATCTCGCCTTGATCTTCAGGTTTGGAAAGCGATGTGCTCAGTCATTAGACGAGAGTTTCAGTCTTCGGTTCTTTAGGGTTCCATTGTTTACACTCGATTAATTATCAATTACACATTAAAGAAAGCATTGCTTTGATCGATTAAATATCATTTAATGTGAGATATGATAGAAAACCCATGAGTTAGGTATATGATATTGAAATTGTATGTGAGAAGTATGTAGCTATTTTTAAAGGTACAGTAGAACCTTGATAACTTAAACCTCGCCAGACACGTAAATAGCAGAACAAAGATGGACACTGCAATCCCAGACACACCACCATCCGCTGGTGGTGCAGTTGGAGCCTGAGTTGGAGCTTGGGTTGGGGGGTTAGTTGGATCGACGGTGATAGGGTCACCCGTGGAAGGTGCATCAGTTATTGATTCAGCGGTTGTTGTTGAGTCATCTCCAGAACCTTCTGTTTCATACGGTAAAAGTAACTCATCATCCCTTTTCGTTAGCTGAGATGCAGATCTTTGAACTCCATCTTCGGAATAGAATTCACAGTTTGTCATTACAACTGAAGAAGGCAAGGAATTCGAAATCGATTCACACAGATTGTTGTCCGGTATTAGAATACACTGCTTTACGAAATACTGCATTTCCGGTTCTGCAAAATAATAAAATACACTTAACAACAAAGTGAGGATAAATGAAACATCTTTTGCTCAGGAATAACTAATTATAAAAGTTATAATTTATTGGTGACACGTTCTATTTCCCTGACAATTTTTAATAGTTACGAGGATACACTGTCCACATGTTTATATCTATGAGTATAGTAAAATGTGGCTGAATGAAAGATATTCGACTCCAAGGTAGTCAACCATAAAATGAGAATAATGATGAATTAGCACATGCAGTAAGAGGAGAAGAAGAATGACTTACCAATTTCGTATTCCAGGGAAATGCATCCCAGTTTCTCGGTACCTTTATTTACTGATTTGCTTTCGTATCCAAATGGCAAAGGTTTCACTTCTCGGCTACATTTATTAAAGACTGTTTGAGGATCTGAGCACTCCGCTCCTCTACAAGATGGGCATTCAAGTGACAATACTAAAAAGAAAGAAATAAATATAATACGTGTAATATTATCTCCTTAAATTAAATGGTAATATTTTAATTATTGATCAACAAGTGACGCTTATAAAACATTACGTTTGTTTCGTCAACAACGATCGATGTAATAAAAATTGATAAAAATCAAAATTAATGAAACGTTTAGAGCGAAGCCAAACCATATGTTATCAACACTCTTTCGTATATTTATTCATCGATAAACATATACTGAGTGGTCTCACAAAACATTCAACTACATAGCACGAATATATTGAGTTCTTTTTCTTTTTACAATTCTTTAATAGTAATTTAAATTATACTCATTATTGTTAAATCTAACAGGCATTTAATCAACAATTTCTAATTATGAAATAGACATTTTGGAGATTGCTTCTTCGATAAATTATATCGATTAATGGAATAGTAATACTACAATTATTACTTAAATCGGTAAATGTTAATTTTTGTAGATATCCCAAGTGATTTTAAGTACCTACTTAGATATAAGTAAATACTCTGATATAAAATCAAAATTGATCTAAATAAATCTATACAAACACAGAAGAAAAATTGACTGCGATTGTTTTCATTTTTTTTTGTGATATTAATGTCGTTCTCTCATGGGGCCATTTTGGGATTTCAACTTGTTGAATTGCAAAATTTCTTAAAACTACGTAACCCAAAAATTGTTTTGTTAAAAGGAAAAGAAATACTCTTACCATTAGCATAAAACGATGCAATTACTAAAATAATAACTACTTTCATGTTCATTTTTTTTGATGTTGTAAATTGTTCTGTTACATATGACTTTATCAGCGTCAGTCGGAAAACTAAAGAGATCGATAAAGTGAAATCTCTTTTTAAATGATAGATTATGGAAAGCGATAATAATGTATCCGTTTTTCTATAATGAGATGATTCATAGGCACTTAAAAAGCCTTAATCCTTAGGTAGCGTTTTTTTTTTGTTATTCCCCTCTACTAACAATCGCATTTGTTTCATAACAAAATCGTTATATTTATGTAGTAACAAGTGTAGCAGTACCATTTTAGTTATTTTTAATCCTTTTGTTTTCGTTTTATTCTCGCCGGACTGCGTGTTTCTTTAAGGGTACTTTATGATTTATGAAGTAAATTATATAAAGGTTTGAGTCAAGGCAATAATTTCTCATCGATTTCGATTCGATCAATAAATTAATTAAAAATAGCTTGATACAATTTTGCATCATGTGAAGGCCTTCTGATACTGGTAGACTTTATTAAAAATTGAAATCTATGCTTAGGACTTCTAAAGCTGTTTGCTTGTTAAATATAATAAAAAAAATCAAATTATTGAGTTCTATAAAACTGAACTAGATACAGGGACTTCACTGCGGATGGACCAAGACCTGTGCCCCTTCACTGAAAGTTCTGGTCCATATGCTGACCCTGAGTATTAAGTTAACCCAATCATCGTCATGATCATAATAGCATCAGCCTGAAGGCTAATTGGACTCGTTGGAGCAACCAACATCTCTTGTAACCGTTTACAAACAGTACCGAATCTACTCCAAGTCTATCTTTGTCCCTCTTAACTCCTTTTCTTGCTTCTAATAGCCCTTCGTGACTGAGAGGTTGTCCCACT